AGCCTTCCAGAAAAACAAACCAATGTGTCTTAGAGGAACACTCAGAATGCTCCTTAGAAGTGACAATGGTGAGGCTTCAGCCACATGTGCTTTGGATGTGTTGCTAGGAGGGGCCAGTTTCTGCAGAAGGACAGCATTCTTGGTAAGCACAGGGTCAGTGAAAAAGAGGAAGCCCCCCAATGAGGTAGACTGACACAGTAGCTGCAACAACAGACTCAAACAGAACAACTGTGAGACTGGGACAGGACCAGGCACCTACCAACAACAGTAATTGTACAGAAGCAGATTGCCACGTTTTTCTCCCGTGGAATGATTGGTGGACTTGAACAGGTGACTGGTTCTAAAACTAGGTGAAGTGTGAAATGTGCATTATTATCAATATTTTGAATTTGTTTTGTTTTGTTTTGTTTTGAGTCATGACTGTCTAACTTTCACTAACTACCTTCAGTACCCATTGATGATTCTTGCCTTAGACAATCATTACCGCATTGGTTGCCAAATTATGATGTTCCTTGTCATTCCGTCTACATTCCTTATAGCGTTCTACTATAAGGAGGAGAATGCTTTCTCATTTGTTTAATGAGTATGGACTCATGAATTCTTATTTCATCCAAGGGGTTATTATCTATGACCACAAATACCATTTATTTTAATGCTCAAAATGTACCAAATATGGCCAGTGGGAGATGCTTCAAATTGGTTCCTGTGGGTTTTGACATGTCCTCAAAATTCCCTGAATACTTCAACATGCTATTCCAGGCTCATTTAATATTTTTACTGCCCCAGCCCTGGAATCAGCTATTTTTCCAAGTCTTGGTTTCTTTTAGTGGAGAATGGTATTTAGAAACCAAAATATCAGTGTTCATTCTTACTGGTGTGCCATTGTCTCTAGGCTGCCTCAGTGGACAGAGTCAGAGAGTATATAAAGTAGCTAGCTATAAAGGACCTTATTGGGAGAACTGATAAAATTTGAAATTGGACTGTGATGAATATTAAATCAATGTTGAAATGAAACTTTCTGATGTTGGTCATTGTACTGTTGGTATGCAAGAGAATGTCCTTGTTCTTAGGAAATACACAGTAAAGTATTAAGGTGGGAGGGGTACAAAATGCCTGTGACTTTAGAAGTGCATATGGAAGAGGACCCGGAGCCACTGTGAACCCCAAGGTCCACATCAACATGCCTATGCAGGTGAAGGCACCTTTCTTTGCTGAATCAAACAGGTTGAGAATTAGGATTTTGGAGCCTGATCGAAGTCATAATAGTTTCATGAAGGCATCTCTGAGTATAAGGGGATCCTAAGGTCCAGGTTCTGAGTAATTCAGATTTTATGGGGAAAGAGAAGCGGATACACATACCGTCTGTATTCTGCAAAACTGTCTTATCCTTCACAAAGGCTACATCTCCCGCTTCAACCAGACACCTGCAGATTTCCAGACAGGAGGAGAGAGAAGAAAGTGGGTCAGAGAGGCACATCTGTTATTCATGAGGGCCACCCTACAAATTCAGGGCAAGCCATTTGATATCAGCAATAATCATTCTATGTGTCACCGAGAAATGGAAGGTTCCAATTTACTATGTAGTTACACAATCTCAACTCTACATACAAAACCCTAAATTCTGGCAGTTTTTACAACAGAGAGGCATCATTTTCTTAACATCAAAATAGAGAGTAGAGGGTTTGTTTTCCAGTCAAGTGATACCCTCATCCCAGTTCATATATGAATTGTGAATGAGATACTCAATTCCATCAGATTTTTACAAGATGGATATGTCTATTCAACCTTCATAAATGACAGAAACACGATCACAAATTTTCATTCACAAGATCCTTTATCTGACCATTCATGGAGCATTTGGTGTTTAGAAAATCCAGAATGTGTGGCAAATCTTGGCTCTATTGATTCACACTCCACACAGCTCTGGTGTGGTCACTGAAACTGTAAACATAGCTCAGAGGCACTACCAGACCCCCAATAAATTTTCTGAACAAAGAAATAATAACAAGATAAAGTCTGTTCAGTGTGATGTTAGAAGTAATTACCACTATATTCCAATCCAATGAAAATGGATGGGAAGCTCTGTCTATACTTAAATGTCTGCACAAAACTCAGGCTGAGTCAGACGCTTTCAGTCGATTTTAAACTCCCTCACTTCAGGAAAAGAACCTACCCCTTTCTGCAGCTAGTGGAGAATTTTAGGTATAGCTAGCTAAGAAGGGAAGCCCCTGGGTAGCATTAACAGATAATACACTCAGTGTTGACTGAAAGGTTTAAGGTTTAAATCCATTCAGAGGTGCCTCAGAAGACAGACTTGGCAATCTATGTCCCCAAATACGCCAATGAAAACCCTATGGACATTAGCTATCCAAAATGGGGGCAAGAAGTGACTGGCTTACACGCTTACAAAGGCAAGAAGTGACTGGCTTACATGCTTTCAAAAGGGAGCCTAGATTCAGAGGGGTGGGGGAAGGTAGAATCTCCACTGATTGGTTACCAATCTGTTGGGATGGGGCTGATGAAAGGAGATGGGGATAAGACTCTTGTGGTTCAATAGTGAATAACTGCTATCAGGACTGACTGTGAGGGTCAGAAATGTGAAGGTAGATGTTTTGTAACAAAAGGAGAGGAGTGACTGATTTTACAGTCCAGGAGTGGAAGTCCCTGGGACCATCAAGTGAGAAGAGCGGAGTGCAGGACCCTACACAGAGAGGCAGTGACACCAGAAATGGAGGCAGAGACGATGACATGGAAAGATGGAACGGCTGGTGACTCTGGCATCAGGGAGGGAGAGGGGCTGTGTGCTGACTGGGGGCAGGCTTGCAGGGTGTACCCTTTGGTTGTTTAATGAAGCATGGAGGGGACTGTAATCGTTGCAATGAAATGAAATATGACAGGATGAATGTAAAGCTGATGTTCTCCCATGTAAACTCACACAATTCACAATAAAAAGAAAAATACCCTATGGAGCACATTTCTACTTTGACACACATGGGGCTGCTAAGAGTCAGAACTGATTCAACAACAGCTGGCACTGGGTGGTTAGCTGAGCAGGCTGGTTATCTTTTTTTTTGAATCATTATTTTATTTCCTTCCATTTGCTTTAGAGATGGGAGTCTGTTTGATCTGATGTGTCTTACTTGACAGATAAGTCTTAAAAGACATTTCTTAGAAAGAGAAGGCTTTATAGATATTCAAGTAAGCAAAATTTTGAGTCTTTTAAATTAACACCAGGAGTCCTGGTGTGGTGCTGAAGGTTAATGTGCTGGACTGAAAGGGCAATCTAAACTGCAAGGATCGGAAGTTCAAAACTCACTAGTCCTTCCTCGGAAACCTTATACAGGGTTAGTTTGAGTCGGAACCGACTCAACTGCACTTGACAACAGCAACAATATTGACCTATACCTCCCAAGTATCTGTTACCACGAGAGAGAAAAAAAGGTGGAGGTGTAAAGGGGACTGCATTTTATGTTCCTTAATAGACCCTTAAATCTCTGTGAAATCACCACACGATACCTGATAAAACTGCAAAGTTGTGGATTGGAATTGTACTTACTCTAGTTTACAAGGAGGCTTTAGCTGGAGAATTGTGATAAACTTTGTTTTTCATTTCATGAGTGAGAAATTCAAATACAATTCTACATCACTGTATAGTTCATGGACTCATGAACTACCAGGTAAAAGAAAGCTTGAATTAAAAAGGATAGTTAGAAATAATAAGGCAGCAATAAGGTACACAGGGATGTCTATAAAAATGATAAACAGTTCCTAAAACAGAATTAAGTTAGAAATTTAGAAATCAAGTACTTTACTTCTCTGAATTTTCAGATGCATCTGGTTCCAAGACACACAGGTGCCTTGATTCCTGACCCCTGACTCCAATGTTTATTCAACTATACATACTAGGGTTTCCTAAAAGTCCCTGGGAAGCACTAAATGGTTAAGTGCTCGATGGTCTCTTGGAAGGTTAGGGTGTGAATTCACCGAGAAGTACCATAAGAGACAGATTTGGTAATTTGCTTCTGAAAGGTCACAGTCTTTAACACCCTATAGCACCGTTCTACTCTGTACCTGGGATTTCTGTGAGTCAGAATTGACCTGGCAGCAACTAACAACAAAAGGTTTCTTAACCTTGACACTAGTATCATTTTGCACCAGTAACTGCTGTGGGGGATTGTTCTGTACATTGTAGGACGGTTAGCAGTGTGGTGTTAGAGGAGGCTGGCAGTTCAAGCCTACCGGCTGCTCCTCAGAAACCCTATACAAGGTCACTGAGTCAGAACCGACTCCACAGCACTTAACTATAACAACAACCCATGAAATGGCAGTAGCACTCTTACCCCCAACATGTGGCAATTAAAAGCATTTCCAGATATTGCCAATGCCTTCTGAAGGGTAAACTGCCCCCTGTTAAAAACCTGTGAACTGACCCATGATGCCTGTCTCTACTGTTTGTGACAGCCAGATTGGGCCAGCTATGTCCTGGAGAGGCTAGGTGCCTCTCCACACATGTCTCTGCATTTAGGGGCTAACTCTGGTCCCTAATACATATAGCACTAATGGGTGAGGAACGTTAAGACTGACAGCCTTGGTTCCCAAAACAGCAATCTGATCCAGGCTGGGATATGAGAATTAAGAGACTCACCTGAATGCCCCTGTGTACCCATAGTACATCTCCTTGTTATTGGGAGCACACTTGTTTGGTTGTGGACCAGCACACAAAGAACAGAGCTTGGAATCTACGTCAGACCCAGGAGCACAACTTGCACTGAAAAATTTATCTGTGCAGAAAAACAACAGGATTTCAGCTCTTCCTGCCTGAGCGAATCTGAATACCTTTTTCTAACCACGCTGTAGGTTTCAGGAGAGGTAGAACATATTCATTCTGTGACCTTCTGCCATCAACTCAGGACTTGCCAGGCTGTGAGCATTAAAAGGAAACTTAATTGATACTATTAAAAGGAATCAGTGACCATTACAATCATGGTGGAGGGGACTCCTTTGAGCATCCTGTTACCACAGTTTCACCAAAAGAAAGATGAAATGAAAATGACATAAAAGGGATGAAAATCAACCACATCACTCCTTGAAAAGATGCCACCTGAGTTCAGGTGTCTCCTTAGCCTGCCAGTCATTAGAAGAAGACTACAACTCCAAAGTTGAGGAAGGGATGGGGAATTTTTCTCTCAGCTCAGGACTACTTTCCCTGCTGGTGGGGAGCCAGAGCTTTCTGAATGTCCACCCCAGCCAGACTTCACTTCATATCCAACTGGTGTCACAGAACAGCCCCACCAGTGGCCTGCTCTGTCTGCAAGTCCCCATACTCACAGGGACTTCCTGCTTCCTAATGGGTTGTAGAGATCCTTTCCTTTAAAAGGGTTGCCCACATTTTAAGGTGGGAGAGAGGAAGTACTCAGGAAACTAATGTAAATCAGAACCCTTGGAAGAGACTTGTCGGTGGAGAATTTAGCATGTATAGCTTCAAGGCTGTAGAAATAAACTCACACAGGAAGATATAGTTAGAGGTCACTGAGAATAAACAGATTTTCACCCTAGGAAGGGAGGGCTGAGTTGGGCAGTGATTCGGTGAGACTGCCAAGGAGAGACCCTTAAAAAGATCAGAGGATCACACAAACTAAGTCATAGGAATTGTCAGCTGTCTACCCAGTACCTAGGCCCTTTTTTTCCTTAGTAACAAATACCTAGTTTCATTTGGGGTAGAAATATTCCAAAATAAAATACTGTGTGTCTAACTTCTGAGCAACATGTTACTTGAGGTAATTTGGTTACTTCCTGAAAAGTTCCTTTAAAAGGGTGACCATAGCTGGTGCACACTTCCACGTGCCCTTAGTCCTTGGTCTTTGTGGCTTTCTAGAACATTGATATGATGACAATGATGAAGTGACTTGAACATGGAAGCCACCAGCTAAGAATGGAACAGAAAGAGAAGAATCTGAGTTTCTTATAGCCATACCAGCCCTGAACTGCTCACTCTGGTCTTTTTCATGAGAGATGAGAGCAAATAAGCAAACTTTAGAGCTTAAGTCATTATGTGCAACTAAAATGAGTCATTCAGATTCAGCTCTCCAGCTCTCCAGACTTCTCATCCTATTCTGATATTTCAATGAGGTTTCTTTTCCTCCATGTTTACTTCAGGGCTCAGACCATGTTGTACCTCTCGTATTGCATTCTCTCTCTTATCCACAATCCTGACCATAGTTCCCTACCAGGATTCTCTTACCGAATTCACAGGATTTGGTCTCATTGTAGATCAGGCCCATGGGGACATTCCAGCCAGCAGTCCTGCTCACAGCAGTGTGGCAGGATTTCTTGCCTTTCAGAGACTTCCAGTTGATACTTGGGTTTGATTTCTTAACTACTGCCACAGCACGATACCCTTAGAAGAAAGATGACAAAAAAGTTTTAATATCTCTGGCACCTCCAGAATGTTAAGCCTGTTAAGTTAAGCCTGCCATCTCCTTAGAAAAGAAAAACATCCTGAATACTTCATTCTGTCTTTGAGTGGACCCGTCCAACTACTGACTACACTCTGCCAGGGAGAAATTTATCTAAAATTTAATTGTTTATATGTAAACCTCTCTCCAAATGCATAAAGACACTGAATACATAAAGTTATGCATAAACTAACAATTCACTCTCCAATGTGGACTACCAAAGGAATTGATACTGAACAATAAATGTAACTTAACATTTTATAAATTTACATGTATTACGTTGTTCTTAAGGAGCTCTGCTAGCGTAGTGGTTATGAATCAGGCTGCGAACCACAAGGTCAGCAGTTCTAAACTACCAGCTGTTCCATGGGAGAAAGATGAGGCTTTCTGCTCCTGTAAAGATTTACAGCCTCGGAAACCCTGTACAGGGTCGCTATGAGTCAGAACCGACTCCATGGCACACAGCCACCACCACCAAGTTGTTCTTGCTAAGTGCCACTGAGTTGGTTCCAACTCAAGCGACCCTATGAGTATAGGGTTTCTGAGAAGTGACTGGTGGGTTTGAACCATTTGGTCAGTAAAAATAATAAAAGATCAATAAGCTATGGGAATTAAGAGGATCGGATATTTTCTGACAAGGAGAATAGAGCTTTGCACCAATATAAATATGAAAATAGAGATGTCAAGATCAAGTCAGCTGCCATCTTCAGCAGTAAATACATGCTGATTCTTAAAAGGGGATGGGACATCAAGCCATGGTTTCAGTTTTCCATTTAATTAGCCCAGGAAACAGTTTCCAACAGAAAGAGAGAGAGGCAGGGAGAAAGAAGAAGATGCCTTTCATCTATGGAAGAAGAACAGGCCTTTCTATATTCTGCTGAAGAGCTTGGTTCCCGAAGCGATAGGGAGAGTCTGGGAGAGTTTGATTGGACTAAGTGGTGTCAATGGACTTGTATGTTGTGTGATACATGGCTTGCAGAGACCTGAGCACAGGGACTCTGGAGATCAGTGCTCATTTTAACACTTTCTGATCTGGTCCCCTGCCCATCCTGATCCACCCATCACAAATCTTGGTTGCAGCCAGGTTGGCCTTGGCTGGGAGGTCAGGCTAATTTCATACTCTTAGACATCTGCCTGGAGTCCTGGTGTGGAGCTGTAGGATAAGCACTGGACTGTTAACTGTATGGTTGGCAGTTCAAACCCACCAGCTGCTCCTTGGAAACGCTATACAGTGTCATGAGTCAAAACAGACTTGATGACACTTAACAACAATAGACATCTGCTTATGTGAGGCTCTCCCCTCAGTCATGCAGGGCACAAATAAACAAGATTACTTGGCTGGTGCTAGGTCTTATCGAAAAATGTGCAGGTCTTATGTTACAAGGTAGCGGGGATCATGAGAAGAGCCTGGATTGGCTTCTTGACTATATGATCTTAAACAATTCATAATCTCTCAGCGCCCTAGGGATCACTTACACATCCTTAACTACACACTGTCATTCACAGTCTATTACAACTCATAGTACCCTACAGGATCGAGTAGAACTGCTATGTAAGGTTTCTGAGAATGTAAATCTTTACAGGAACAGATGGCCTCATCTTTCTTCCATGACATTGCTGGTGGGTTCAAACTGCCAATCTTTCAGTTAATAGCCCAGTGTTTAATCTCCTATACCACCAGGGCTCCTTTATGCATCCTTGTTATTGTTGAGTTCCTTCAAGTTGGTTCCAACTCATAATAACCCTATATAGGGTTTCCAAGGAACGGCTGGTGGGTTTGAACTACCTACTTTGCAGTTAGTGGTCCACTGCTTACCCTGCAGCACCATACCAGAACCTCATCCTTAGAGGATAATACCTACCATAGCATTAAGTGTGGAAATCATGGCAAGTCTAAAGAAGTAATCATCATTATTAATTACTATCCTCTCATGATTCCTTTGCATTTAAAAATGGATCTCTTCTATTGCCTATCTTCCTGTATTCAAAATTTAAATGTACCTCACTCCTTCCCCAACAATGGGATGTTCCCAGACCCAACTCACCTTGCTCTGGCTTTGTCATACAATCGCTGCCGTCTTCTGTAGAAAATAAAATGAAGAAGCCCTTAAGTACTCTTTTGTCAATTGAAAATCATGCCTTTGTCAGAGTAAACAGAGTCAGGAGAATAGCTATCTCTAGATCACCAACTGACACCAAGACTAAGCTCTGGATTATGCAAATTCATTTCAGCTCCCCAATAAAATTTTGCCAGAAAATGTGAACTTCAGTTTTCCTGCTTGGATGCCACAAATTATATCTGATTCCTGCCAGGGTGTGATTGGAAATGTATGAGCTTTGGAAGCAGGAAAACCTGGTGAGACTCTCTACTGTACTCTATGTTGGGGTCACAAGTAGAGAGGAGCTTAAAAGTGGAGAGGCCCCATCCCTGATTGGTTGAAGGCTACAAGAGACGGTGGAGTCCCCAGCCTGTGAAGCAGCAGGTGCTGAGTCAGGGAGCATGCTCATGACTGCATGGCTGCTGAATTAGGTTGTGATTTTCCCATCCCCTCCCTCCATGGCCCAGAGAGATGCTCCCCTCCACTTACTGTAGTTCTCTGCCAGGACTGGGACCAAACCACACTTGCCAGCTGTGTAAATGAATCCTCCATCTAAGCTCATGGCATCTGCTTCTCCTTTCTGCAAACACAAAGCAAAAGATTAAAATAGGCTGTTTCCTGTCCCATTTGCCCTTCCAACTTCTTGTTTGAAGCAACTTTAATATCACAGATCATATAAGCCCAGGAGGACAGCAGTAGCTTATATTGAAACTGTCCTCATTTACCATCCCCGAAAAATAATCAATCAACCCAGCCTAATAGATGTACTTTCACTTTCACTCAAACTAACATGAACTGATGATCAACTCTAGGTGACATGCTTGGCTTATTCAAGAGCAAAGGCCCACAGCACACTCTGTGCCAGAGACCATTCCACGCCACCCTTCTGACACTAACATCCAATTTGTGTGAAAGAGAGACAGGGTAAAGTCAGAGACTCTAGTCTGTGTCTGGAATAGTGTGTCTCCTGACTGGAGCTCAGCCCACACTCTGCACACTGACTGAGGCTTATTTCAGCGGCTGGTATACACACGTACTCAGTGAATGAATCAAATATACCCATATGATCACCTAACAAGCTCTAAATTTCAGAGATGCTTTTGTTGTTAAGTGCCGTTGAGTCGATTCCGACCCATAGCAACCCTGCATGGGGTTTCCAAGGAGCAGCTGGTGAGCTTGAACCACTAACCTTGCAGTTCAAATGACTTGCAGTCTAACGCATTAGCCCACAGAGCCACACCAAGACTAGATTCAATAAAAATGCCAAATACTATTCCCTTGGACATAGTAATCAAATTTTTAGGAATACACCATACAGGAATACTTAGATATGCTGACAACTAGTTGAGCTAAATAAATGTACATGTAAAAATGGGCTAAAATGTACATGAATGATTTTTAATACAAAACGACAGAATCCAACTCAACGCGCAACAATGGAGAAATGAATAAGCAAATTGCCACACCTCCAGACTATGGAACAGACTACAACATTAAAAGATTGTGTTTTCTAAGAATGATTTATGATCTGGGGAAAGCTGACTAGATTATATCTCTATAGTATGATCCCAATAAAAAAGGATCAGCTAACAAGTAAAGTTTTTTGTTCTTTATATGATGGGGCTTCAAAAAGTTTGTGGAAAAATGTAATTAAACGATGATGGAACTTTCCCAAGAATTTTTGAATCCCCTCATATTATTCAGGGTTTTGAAAATTCTCCAAAAGCGAACTTGAAATACATTTTTCACCAACAAAACTTGTAGGTGCTTTAAAAATCACCATGGGTCCTTAACAAACTGTCTAGGCTACCTCTTAGGCATACCCACACCAGGGTCCAGCCTTTGCAAAGCAGAGCATTGTTCAGATCACCTCCACATCTTACACTAAGCCATGAGGGAAATGAGCTCTGAAGGAGTCCTAGAAGGCGACATGTTCAAAGGTGGCCCATGATGCCTGTGGGGCTGTGCCCTCATGACTGAGGACCAGGTTCCTAGAAACCAGGCTCTGTACCTCATTGCCTGGACCACTTGCTGAGCCTGGGGGTGGGGGGTGGCAAGCAGGCAGCAGTGACATACCCTGATCTTGGCAATGCAGTCTTCGGTGGTCTCTGCTGACTCACACTCTATTTTTCCGTCACTGTTAACACTCCATTCATCACACTTGGCCCTCTCATGGTGGCTCACTGCACACCATTTCACCCGATTGCATTCACTCTCAGGGCCTGCGGCATAAGAAAGACAATCAGAGATCAGAAGAGATGTCACAAGTTGCTTGGTGGTCATTAATGCTACTGTCTTGAAGCAAATGCTGGCACTTTCCAACTCTAAACAAATATAAAAATTTGTGGAAAAATCCCTGAATCTTTAAGTTCCATTTTTCCATGAACTTTCTGAAGCCCTCTCAAAGATCTCACTTGAGGAAGTGTATCATCCTAGAACGCAAATCAAGACACAAACTCTTGACTGGTTTCTTACCATTTACAGTTAACTTAAAATGATTTCTCCTGAGAAGCCAATTTTCCTCCCCAGTCTGTGGGCACTCTATCACTTCAAGCTGTTGGGTTTTTGTTGTTGTTATTTTATTTTGTTTTTCCTTCTTTTAAAATTAGCACTTAACCACCTGCTCTTTTCTTGTTTATCGTCTGTTTCCCTGAAGTGCAGACAGAGCAAGGGCTCTGTGTGTCTTCATTGTTTAGGGCAGTGCCTCACACATGGTCAGCTTAACAAATAATTTGTTGAATAAATGGATACCTGCTCATGATTCAGTATCAACTCAAGGGTCGCTTCTTCAGGGAACCCTTACTTGTACGCCTAGAACTGGTTTTTCTTTGTTTTGCATCCTCAGGCTGTTCATGCTTCTGAGTAGATCTCATTTTGTAATTGGACACTCAGTAATTTGACTATTCATTAAGCACGTGTCTTTCCACTAGTCAGACGTTTCCATTCTGGTAGAATCTTGTTTTTCTCACCACTGTATGCTTAGCATCTAGCACCGTGTCTGATTGTTGTTAGTCGTCATTACGGCAGTTCTGACTCAAGACAACAAATGGTGTGCAGGCTTTTCAAGGCTATGACTTTTCAGAAGCAGATTGTCAGGTCTGCCTTTTGAGAAACCTCTGAGTGGGTGTGAACCACCAACCTTTTGGCTAGTAGTTGAACATTTAACCATTTGCGCACCAAGGGGCCGGATGTTCAATAAATGTCCTTTGAACAAATAAACCATCAAACAAACCCCAGTGGCTCAAAGAAATTCAAGAGTGGAATCAACCTTCCCCTTTGTGGCACAGGGCCATTTCCTCCCATTTTAATTTCTTTGAGTGGGGATAATTAACTTCACAAAGTGATCTATACAAGGGAAACAGTGTTGGTATGAATTCAATTTATTTTGATGGTGATGGTTGTATGCTGCGAAGTCAGTTCTAACTCATAAAGAGCTTGTATAGGATTTCTGTCACCATCTGTTGTGTGACCGTTTGTTGTGCTGTGGCGGCTTTTGTGCTGCTGGGATTCTGGAAGCTATGCCACCAGTTTTTTAAATACCAGCAGGGTCATCCACGGTGGACAGCTTTCAGCTGGGCTTCCAGACAAAGACAGGTTAGGAAGAAGGAGAGATGGACTACTTCCAAATATTTAGTCATTGAAAATGTTATGAACAGCAGTGGAACACTGTCAGATAGCACCAGAATATTGGACATTGGAACATGATGAAGAGCACGAGAATATTGTCAGCTGTAGTGCTAAAAGATGAGCCCCTCACATAGGAAGGCACTCAAAATATGACTGGGGAAGAGCTGCCTCCTCAAAGTACAGTTGCCTGTGATGATGAGAATGAAATAAAGCTTTCAGGACCTTGATGAAGCACAACTCAAAATCAGGAGAAACCGCTTTCAACACCCATTAATAATCAGAGCATGGAATGTACAAAGTATAAATCTAAGAAAACTGGAAGTTGTCAAAAAGTAAATGGAATGCATAAACATTGATGTCCTAGGCATTAGTAAACTGAAATGGATTGAGATTGGCCATTTTGGATTTGACAATCACATGGCTTTCTATGTGGAAGATGACAAATTGAAGAGGAATGACATCACATTCATCATCTAAAAGAACATTCCAAGATCTATCTTGAAGTACAATGCTGTCCATGATAGGATAATAGCCATACATCTTCAACATGAAATCGATCAAACATCAATCAAGATGTATTGATGATTACTGGTCATAACAAATGTACAGGTTGGAAATAAAGAGGAAGGATCAGCTGTTGGAAAATATGGCCTTGAAGATAAAAATGATACTGGAGATAGCATGATGAAATTTTGCAAGACCAGCGACTTAGAAAACCAAAAGGTAAGAACATGCTCAGCATTTCTTAACCTGAAGGAACTGACGTAAAAACCCAAGTCTCAACTTGAAAAACTAAAGGATGCTATGTGACGCTGTAGGATAAACACTGGGTTGCAAGGTCAGTTTAAATAGCAAGGTTGGTGGTGCCAACTCACCAGCTGCTCCTCAGAAACCCTACACAGAGTTGCTATGAGTCAGACCCGACTCTATGGGACTTAACAACAACAATGGACAAAATATTGAATGATGCAGAAAACATTAAAAAAAAAAAGATGGAAGGAATACAGAGTCACTGTACCAAAAAGGAAAGGTTGATGTTCAACCATTTCAAGAGGAAGCATATGGTAAAGAGTCAATGACATTGAAAGAAGTCCAACTTGCACTGAAGGCATTGGCAAAGACAAGGCACTAGGAAATGACGGAATACAAATTGAAATCTTTCAACAAACTAACGCAGCACTGGAGACACTCACTCATCTAAGCCAAGAAATTTCGAAAACAACTTCCTTGCCAACTAATTGGAAGAAATCCATATTTGTATCCATTCCAAAGAGAGGGACCCAATGGAGCACGAAAATCATCAGACAATATCATTAATATTGCATGCAAGTAAAATTTTGCTTAAGATAATTTAAAAACTGAGAACTGCCAGAGTTTCAAGCCAGATTTAGATGAGGACGTGGAATGAGGGATATCATGCTGACGTCAGATGGATCTTGGCTGAAAGCAGAGAATAGCAGAAAGATGATTACCTGTGCTTTATTGACTATGCAAAGGCTTTAGATTGTGTGGATCATGACAACCTAGGGACAACATTTTGAAGAATAAGTTTTCCAGAACACTTAATTGTGCTCATGAGGAATCTGTACATCAAGCAAGAGGCAGTTGTTTGAACAGAAAAAGGGAACACTGAATGGTTTGAGATTAGGAAAGGTGTGTCCAGGGTTACATTCTTTAACTACACTTATTCAATCACTATATTGAACAAATAAACTGAGAACATGGATTATATGAAGAAGAATGTGGCATCAGGATTGGGAGAAGACTCATAAACAACCTGTGATACGCAGATGATACAATCTTGCTTCCTGAAAGCCAGGAGAACTTCAAATACTGATGAAGATCAAAGACCACAGCCTTTGCTATGGGCTGTACCGCAACATAAAGAAAACAAAAATCCTCACCACTAGACCAATAAATAACATCAAGATAAATGGAGAAAAGATTGAAGTTGCCAAAGACTTCATTTTGCTTGGATCAACCATCTACAATCATGGAAGCAGCATTCAAGAATCAAATGATGTATTGCATTAGACAAATCTGCTACACAGGACCTCTTTAAAGTGTTGAAGAGCAAAGATGTAAGCATGATGACCGAAGTGTGCCTGACCCAAGCCGTGGGATTTTCAATAACATTATATGCATGTGAAAGTTGGACAATGAGTAAGGAAGACTATTGAAGAATTGATGCATTTGAGTTAAGGTGTTGGAGGAGAATATTAAAAGTACCATAGACTGCCAAAAGAACAAATAAGTCTATGTTGGAAGAAGTATAGCCAGAGTGCTCTTTAGGAGCCAGGATGGCCAGACTTCATCTCTTATACTTCAGACATATTGTCAGGAGGGCCAGTTCCTGGAGAGGGACATCATGCTTGGTAAAGTGGAGGGTCAGTGGAAAAGAGGAAGACCCCCCATTAACCTAGGTGGCATGTGGTGACAACAATGGACTCAAACGTAGCAACGACTGTGAGGTCGGTACAGGATCGGGCAGTGTTTAGTTCTGTTGTACTATGAGTCGGTACCAATTCAATGGCACCTAACAACAACAGAGTTTCTGAGGCTGTAAATCTTTGAGGGAGCAGAAAGCATCATCTTTCTCCCATGGAGCGACTGGTAGATTTAACTGCTGGCTGACCTTGTAGGTAGCAGCCCAACTCATAATCCACTATGCTACCAAGGCTTCTTCCAATTAATTTTAAGTATCATTTTTCTTAAAAGTCCTTTTTAAAGACCCATCTCATAATAATGAATACCATTTAGAATTGTCTATCATTGGGCTGCACAGGCAGACCAGATAAGGACATGTCAGGTTAGGTGTTCAGAAACCTGGAAAGATTTTGTCACTGGTCCCCACCTTGACTAAGTTTTGCAAGCTCCTGTGGTCACCAGGTAGTTTCCGAATACTTACATTTGCCTTCCTTTATATTGCGAAGGATATTGACATAGTTATATCCCAGGTATGTCCAGGTATCCATCCCAGAGGGTACTTGTAGAAAGCCTTCAGCAGAGTCCTTGAACATCAGATTTTTCCCATGAGGGGAGCTGAAGAGTTGGAACCCTTCTTTCTTGTCTTTGCCATACTGCTTCTGTTTGTAGTAAAACAAAATGGTGAATAGCAACAATGAACAAGGGAGACAGAAAAATGAGACATAGGAAAAAGCTGAAAACAAAATGAGAAACTGTGAAACTTGTTTACAGTTCTAGGAGAGAAGGTAGTCAGCCACTTTCTTGTCCACACTGGCTTTCTCTACACTCACCCATCCTAGACCCAAGCCACATCCCATTTCCCTGAAAGTGCTTCCTTCCTTGTCTCCTTGACTGAGTTAAGAGTGCTTGAAGATTTAGGTGTGTATTTCATTCAGGGTAGACAGGGATGGGCAACTTGGACATTGGCTACCCAAAATGCAGGGGGGTGGGCTTCAAAAGCAAGAAGTGACTGGCTTACAAGCTTTCAAGAGGGAGCCTAGACCCAGAGTGCACGGAGGAAGGTAGAATCTTCACTGAGTAGTATACAATCTGTCTGGGCCAGGCCGATGAAAGGAGATGGGGATAGGTCTCTTGTACTACAGTAGTGAATAATTACTATCAGGACTGACTGTGAGGGTTGGAAATGTAAAGGTAGATGTTTTGTAACAAGGAGGGGAGTGATTAACTTTGCAATCTAGGAGCGGAGGTCCCTGGGACCACCAAGGGTGAAGAGTGGAGTGTGGGACCCTACCCAGAGAAGCAGTGATGCCAGAGATGGTGGCGGAGAGGATAACATGGAGAGATGGAGCGGCTGGGGACTTTAGACCCAGAGAGGGAGAGGGGCTGTGTGCTGATGACCGGGGAGCAGGCTTGCAGGGTGTACCCTTTGGTTGTTTGATGATGCATGGAGGGGATTGTAATCATGGCAATGAAATGATTTATGATAGAAAGAAAATAAAAAAAGATAATGGAATTTTTCTTTTTGAAGTTTTTGAAGCCCTCTTATGAGTGTGTGTGTCTGTAAATTGCTGTTGTGATTAAAGTTATTGCCTGCCCCCCCCCCTAAAAAAAAAGATATGTATCTCCTTCACAGGCTGGCACTAAGTAGCTGCCACTTAAACTCTTGATGGACAGATGGGAGGCCTACTCAAGACAACACTGGCTCAGGTCAAGCAGTACCCTGGTTTAGGGGTGTGCAGCTCATCTGGCCATCAGGCTGACGGAAATCAGGAGATAAACTGTTTTGGAGGGCTTTGTGGGGGAGCCAGTGTTTATACTTGGCCATGAAAGCCCGTTTAAATGGAAGGGAATATAATAGAGCAAGAAGGAGTTTCTTCATATATCACTGTGGTCCAAAAAGTAGGGGCCTACTTGATGGTAATCCTGGGTAAGGCTGTCTGTTGCTCTGTGAGGAATACCTGCCAATACTTTTAGAGAAGCAGGTTGTGGTGTGGTGAATTATTTAATGTTTCTTCTAGCCATAGTTTTTGTAAGCTCCCACCAAACAACATTTGTGCCCTGATGAGTCTGGGTAAGAGAAGGTAGGAGAAGATGCTGGCAGAATGTTGATTCAGTTGAGAGTGGTAAACAGGGATACATGTGATTGCTAAACTTGTAAAGTGTTTAAAATAATCCATCTCAGAAGCAGGAGGGGAGTGAATCTCACTACAACCAAAGAAGAGCCAGGAGTAGAGTGTGACCTTTTGGACCCCAAGATCCCTGCACATTGAACCTCCTCAACTCAGGGACAGAATGCTGTGACACCGGAGGAATGGCAAAAGAACAGCAGTAGTAGAACCAAGAGTCAGAGCACAAGACAGAGTGGTAGTGGGCTTCTTAGCCCAGGAAGCAAGTGAAGTGGAGTGACTTTGGGCAGGAGACTTTCTTGAAGAGTAGGGTACCTCCAGGCACTTAATTGGGAGAGCTAAGTTTGCTAACCCACGTGCAAGCTAGAGTGGAGTGCCTTCAGGTTGACGCTTATGGCGGAGTAGTGTATACTGTGGGCATTTATCAGCAGTCCAAAAAGAGCTTTGTAACATTGCTGGAGCAGAGGCCAGGCCACAAGGTTGAGGGTCAGAGAGAGGCCTGCCTGTGGGTACGGCAGAGGAGAGGCTGTCCTGACTGGAAGAACTGTGTCCTGAATAAGTCTAACCTTGAATTGTAACCTCTTAACTTCCCTAACAAGCTCCATAACTGTGAATACAGTGTCTGAGTTCTGTGTGGCCATCGCAATGGATTAGCAAACCCAACAGAGAAGCAGAGTTTTGTGGGAGGGATGATTGCCACATTATTTGCAGTGGTCATGAGTGACATGGCTCCTGCTGTGTCCTGAACACAGCAGGATTTCTGGAAGAAAAGAAAGAAAACCCCTCCAAATCCAAGTAGGGTCCACAAAGCAGGAAGTGAGGAAGGAAGATGGGTGGATGGGAATACCTGTGCCTTGTCAAGAAGCTCCCAGATCTCGTCCTCCTTGCCATCCACACTTCGGCCCACGACAACATGAGCAGGAATCCAGGCCAGGTTGCACTCCTTGTATTCATCCACAGACTTCCGGGTGTTGTCTGGGCAGAGTAGCTCATACCGGTCCCTGTCAGCCTTCGCTGGCAGGTTCTCTGGGGAAGAAAAACCAGATGAGCTTCTCTGCAGGCAGTTGTGGTGGCCTCTCGCTCTCCTGTAATGCCCATTAACACAGGATTTGCAAGCTAGCGGGGGCCAGAGAGATCATTGAGGATCTGAGAACAGAGAAGGAACTTTACTTGAGTTGATGGTAAAAAAGGTAATGGCAAGGAAGGCTCTGATGTCCAGGGCAGAGGTGCAGCCCACATCACATGAGTCTGATCCAGTGAGTCTGATCTCATGAGGTTGACTGACAAAACAATGTCAGTCAGCACAACCATGCTAACAGTGTCCCTGGAAGCAGAGCCATTTGTCCAGAAGGTTGAATCATGGCAAGATGACCAGTTCAGGTGAGAAAGGCCCACAGGTGCATACCTCTGAGCAGGAAAGAAATCCAAATGATGACAGAGCAAGAGAACTCAACTGCACATTCAAAAAGGCAGGGAAAAAAAAGATGCCCACTGCTTGGAGAGGACCTGAAGGATTCTTCTCCCAACACTTACCAAATATTGTCTCAGACTTGACAAAGGCCACATCACCTACACCCTCCTGCAGACACCTGTGGGAAAGAGACATAGTAGGAGGGCTTCTGTACTGCAGGGTAGGAAAATCTGATCACACATTCCAGCCCTGGGGCAAGGACTACTATTCCTAGATAGAACCTGGGGCACAGAAGGCCTCTGTGCAGCCCCCTCATTCACAGGGTGAGACCAGCAACTGGGCACTGGCATTCAGGTGCTATCCAAGTGTGCAGATGAGCTCACACTAGCTGGAGGTTCCTCTTCTTTGCCCCCAAATAGCAAAAAATAATTTAAGATACATTAATTCAGAAAAGATTTAAGCTTCTAAAACATAGGATCAAACAAAGCATGGCATCTCCTGAGGGTGGGAAGGTGCTCTTGACTGGCTTACAGTCTATAAAACTTTAGGATATAAAGAATAGAAAAAGAGGGAGCAGGAAATTAGCTATGTGAGCTGTTTGCATAGAGGTGGTGAGGGCAAGTAGGAGAGAACAAAGGTTCTGTTGATAAAGAATGGGCCAGAACATTGAAGACATGTCTAGCCATGAGCAGGGGCTCTGAGCAGAGAGAAAGGAGCCCAGTATAGGGGCCTGTCTGGCAGGTTAGCAAGGCAGTGGGCATGTGTGCAAGCCAAGTATGTCTTAGGATGGAAGATAACAAGTATTGGCCTGGTCTCTGGAGTCCCAATATTACTGATGCCCTGCAAGGGGATTGTTGTTTTTGTTGAGTACCGTAGAGTCGGTTTCGACTCTTAGTGACCCTGCACAGGGTTTCCAAGGCTGTAAATCTTTACGGGAGCAGAACGCCTCATCTTTCTCCCGTGGAACCACTGGTAGTTTCAAACAGCCGACCTTGAGGTTAGCAGCCTGATTCGTAACCACTACGCTACCAGAGCTCCTTTGCAAGGGGATTAGGTCTCCTTTGCAAGGGGATTAGGTCTTCTTAATGCCCCTGTCCTGGTGTGGTGCTGTGGGTTCCTGCGCTAGACTGCAAAGTCGGTTTGAACTGCAAAGTTGATGGTTCAAGCTCACCAGTTGCTACTTGGAAACCCTCTACAGGGTCATGGTGGGTCAGAACTAACTCAAGGGCACTTAGCAACAACAGTACCCCTGTCAGTAGATTGGTATTTGGTGTGGGGCAGGCAGGATCTCTCAGCCTGAGGTCATGTGACACTTTGGCCACCCTGGAGCAGAGGACAGTGTCACTCACTTCAAGGCACCTGAGTAGCCGTAAAAGCGTTCGTGGGAGTTGCAGGCACATTTCTCTGGTCCCTGGCACAGTTGACACAGCTTGGGGAACTTATTCCGATCTGCACAGGGGACACAGCTGGCAGAGAAGAAGTTGGCCACTGCTGCTCGGAACAGAGAAATGGATGTCAGGGTTGCCACAGCTAATGACACCTGTCAGCCTAGGCTTATTAGGGGACAGACAGTGACCAAAACAGACCTGCAAACTCAGACCCAGCTACGCTTTTCATCAAGATCAGTGGGTCCCACATAAGGACAAGTTAGTCCCTTTGCTCCCTCCTCCCCAAGATAACAGGTCTGTGCTTCTACCCACCAAAGCCTTTCTCAGCTGGCTGCCAGCCCACCCACCTCCCTCCTTGACAAGAAAGAAATTTTCTCTGGGAGCCACGCCTGGGAGTTCTGGCCTGCAGAGGAGCAGGCAGAAGGCATGGCCATCAGGTGCCACCAGAGAAACTTCCAATAGAATGCGAACATGCATTAACTACAGGCAGAAAACAGCCTCCAAGGAAATAAATCACGGGGGTGCAGCAACTGTAACCTTCGATGAGGCCCCTGATACCCTCTCCTGCAGGACTCCTCTGGCAGGGTACTAGGAGCTCAAAGAACTCAGCTGACACTCCCAAAGGAAGCCTGCCTTGGGTTTAAAGCTTGTATTTTCCCCTTCCCTAACCTCTTCATAGTTCATCACACAGGTTCACGGGACAGTGACTATGTGGCCCCAGTGTAGCCTGTGTGGGCAGCTGGAGTAGAGACACCCGTCCAAATGCAGCCACCCTCCTGCCAGCTTACCATTCTCAATTGGCACACGGGGCTCCGGAAAGCTGCAGAGAAGCTTGCCAATAGGGACATTCCACCCAGCAGACCTGCCCAGGCCCGTGTGGCAGGATTTCTTGTCTTTGAGCTCATTGAATTGGAAGCCACTGTCCTTCAACACCACAGCCACAGCATAATATCCAGTTTTGGGATCTGCAAAAGGACTGAGTAAGTACAAAACCCCCATTCTGGGTCACAGGGAAACACTGATCATTACTACGGGAGTTGGATAGGGTAACCCGTGCTTACAGCTGGAGGTAAGGAGTGGGGAATCAGCCACAAAGGGAACATTTGTAAGAACCTCCAGGCAAACACTGAGACCAGAAGGCTATATGCTGTAAGCCTACTTTGGACCTGCAGTGTATCTGCCTATACCTCTCAACTCAAGCCCGCCAGGAAACTGGAGATGTGGCAATAGACACCCACATTCCTTGACTCTCTGCAATTGTTTTCTGACTCTTGACACGGGTTCAAGAAGAGTCAGGCTGGTCTCAGAAGAGTTACAAGACATTCGGAGCTACTCTTGTGTGCTCCATAGTGGTCTCTCCCATGTTTGGTACCACCCAAGATGCACCACTAAAGCCCAATGGCCTTTGTGTCAGACTGCACACAGCCTACTCTGTTTCCCCACTAGGCACATTTTTAGGCCCAGAAGTCAGTGTCAGGAGCACCTCAACCAGCCCAAAATACCAAGGAGGCCTTAATTTGTGTGTGTCGCAGTCAGAAGGGCCCTCATTCTGCACAAACTCCACTGAGAGGAATATTCATTAGTAATCTCCATTACCTGCCAGCAAAGGACAAGACTCAGCACCTACCAAAACAGAACAAACTCCCTTCTGGTCCCCTGGGAGAACTTACTTTCTTTTGTCCCATGGAACTCTGCTGCAACAGGCTTCAGATTGTGGGGGGACAGGCCTGCCTCATACAGCCAGCCTGCATCAAGAGTCATAGTATCTGCTCGCTTATCCTGAAAAAGGACAGACCAGACCACAATGAAGCCCTTACTTGCAAAAACCAAACCAAAAGTTAAACTCACTGTCATCGACTAGATTCTGTCTCATGGTGACCCCATGTGTTACAAACTAGAACTGTTCTATACCATTCCGATTCAAAGCAAAAGGGATTCAGAGGGGAACCTCAATCAGAAAAGATGGGGAAATCAAAGCCAAGTATGATCTCCTAGGTGAACATAATCAAACCCAGAAGAAGGTAAGTCACAATGAACGGACATCAATATAAACATCAGACCTGGGTCCTCAAAGATTCGGGAAATAATAGAGAGGAGCTATGTATGAAACATTTAGTGTCATATGTGAGATGAAGGTAACTTCAAAGATAAGCATAGTGTAATACATTATCAGAAAGAAAAAGAAAAACTTTGAAAAATGGAACTTTTAGAAATGAAAATTGAAATAAAAAAAAAATCACTGGATATCCCAAAAGACTTGAAAGCAGAGACTCAGAGACTTGTACAGTACCGTTCATTACAGCACTATTTACAATAGCCAAAAGGAGGAAACAACCCAAATGCCCAGCAACAGATGAATTGGAAAAAAAATGTTGTATATACATACAGAGAAATACTACTCAGCCACTAGAAGAAACAAAATACATGCTACAATTTGGATGGAGCTTAAAGATATTATGCTGAGTGAAATAAGTCAATCACAAAAGGACAAATATTATTATATGACCTCAATTTAAAGAGACAAAACAAAGGCAAAAGTACGGAGATCAAAGTTTATTAATGTTTACCAGGGGTGGAAAAGCAGGGTAAAGGGAAGGCTAATGATGATGGAAAAATCACATTGATTAAGGGTAGGGCTGCACAGTTGATAACTGCAATTACTGTTAATAAGTAGTACTCTTGGTGCGGCGCTGTAGGATCAGCACTGGACTGCAAACCGCAAGGTGAGCAGTTCAAACCCACCAGCTATTCCTAGGAAACCCTACATAGGGTCACTATGAGTCATAACTGACTTGAAAGCACTTAACAACAATAAAAACACCTGTAAAGGGAATTGTCAAAAGTTCTATGATTGTGGGCCGAAAACTGGGGGGGGGGGGGGGGGGGGGGGGGGGGGGGGGGGTGTAGTGTAGGGGGCGGGCTTCTAGGATATACCCTTTGGTTGGTTGATGATGCATGGAAGGGATTGGAACCATGGCAATGAGATGATATACGATGGAATGAATATAAAACTAAAGTTCTCTCGAGTAAACTACCATATAATTCACAATAAAACATTAAAAAAAAAAAGTTCTATGATTAACATATTTAAAACAACAACAAAAATTAATAAATAAAAGGAGCTGTTGAGGCTATATGTACAACCAAAGTCTTCATGAAGTTTAGTTCCTTGGTTTGGACATTTAGGCTCATGGTTTCATGGGACTAATTGGCATAATAACATGTTTAGTGCTTCTGTTCTACTTCGTAGTTTGGTACACATAGTGCCTAATGGCTTGCAAGTGCCCATCCAAGGCACACTTGGTCTCTATTCACCTGGAGCAATAAAGAAAGAAAGAGGAATGGGAAGAGAATACGGAATGTGTAGTTAATTGCCTTCATGAAAAATTGTCTCCTTAGCCAGGATACTAGAAGAAATGGATGGTTCTCAGTTACCAGATATTCTATAGAAGAATTCTGATCAAAAGGGGGGAAATGTGGAACAGAATTTCAAATTCTCATGGACTCCAGACTTTCTGAACACATGGAGGCTGAACGAACCCCTGAAACTACTGCCCTGAGATAAACTTTAAACTTATCCTGTGAAGTCTTCTTAAAAGCAAATAATACCCAGGAAACACCAAGGTCGGGTCCCCTCAGTGCAAACCCCCTTCCAAGACCAAGACTCAATGGGAATACACACTGATTGGTGACCACGCTCGACACCAGGAAGGGGAAGTGAGGGAAAAACAGCAATGAAGCGATGAGCTAAGCCCTACAACGTTCAAAAGTCTTCTGTGAACTCGGGTGAAGACCTGCTTGGCCAGCAGTGTGGCAAGACCTTGGGACTCTTGGGCCCAGAGTCAGTGACATAGCCACAGAGGGCTAGAGTGGAGAGTGAAGCGTCCAGCTGATAAGAAGAGAGGGCATATGCATAAGAACACCCACACTTGCAGATAATACCCACTTATCCTGGCTTCAGTGACTGCATGATCAGAGCTCAACTGGAAGAAGAAGAGAGGGAAAAAAAAAGTATTTTCATACAATTTGATGAACTTGACCTACACCTATGGAAGCAGTAGCTCAAAAGAGGGAACAAGTCCTTACAGCAAGAATCATTACCATCCCCTCCATACTCAGAGTAGACAGGGATGGGCAACTTGGACATTGGCTACCCAAAGTGGGGGGTGGGGGGCTACAAAGGCAAGAAGTGACTGGCTTACAAGCTTTCAAGAGGGAACCTAGATCCAGAGGGCCTGGAGGAAGGTAAAATCTCCAGTGAGTAGTATTCAATCTGACTAGGCGGGGCTGATGCAATGAAATGCAGACGGATCTCTTGTGATACAATAGTGAATAACTGTTATCAGGACTGATTGTGAGGGTCGGAAATGTAAAGGTGGATGTTTTATAGCAAGGAGGGGAGTGATTAACTTTTTAGTCTAGGAGCGGAGGTCCCTAGGACCATCAAGGGAGAAGAGCAGAGAGTGGGACCCTACCCAGGGAAGCAGTGATGCCTGAAATGGAGCCAGAGATGATGACGTGGAGCGATGGAGCAGCTGGAGACTTTAGATCCAGAGAGGGAGAGTGACTGTGTGCTGAAGACCTGGGGGGTACCGGGGAAGGATTGCATGGAGGGGATTGTAACCATGGCAATGAGACGATATACGATAGAATGAATGTAAAACTAATGTTCTCCCATGTAAACTATCACATAATTCACAATAAAACATTTAAGAAAAAAAAAGAATACAGGCCCAATGTGTAATGACAGAAGGTGAATACCTTATGGGAGGGCTGAGTGGGCAGGGAGGAGATTGAAAAGAAAACAAATTTTCTGCACACACACAGAAAAAAACAAATAATAGTTTATCTTAACTAGTAACAAACTGTCTGCTTTAATATTATGCTTTTTTTTTTTTTTTTTAATATTATGCTTTTTGAAGAACAATGTACACAAGCTTACATTGGCCATGAGTCTATGTTACCAGGAGAAGAACAACTCTGAAAAAGATGGGGATAATGACTGCCCAACTCAAAGTAATTGGTGTCAGTGAATTGTGCATGTGGAACATGTTCTCAACACAGCAAAATATTTTTTTTAAGTCAATGAATGTGTTACAGAACACATTAGGCATTGATTGATGTGAGGATTGGCAAAGGTAAGGATAAATCTGAAGAAGGCATCCAAAATGCTGCCCCCCAAAAAGCAGAAATAGGAATTATGAAAAATTGGTAAAAAGATACATAGGATAAAATTTCCAGGGCAAGATGGTGGAGTAGGGCAGATACACTGAGCAGACCCTCTGCAACAAAGACATAGAGAACAAGTGAGACAGACACAGATGGTGATCCTGAAGTTTCAGACAATGGGACAGAGAGGTGGATTGAGTGTTGACTGGAAAAAAAGAAGCTGAACAGGAACAGTGAGAGAAAAGCAGAGTGGGCAGGTTGTCAGCTGCCATGGATCAGTTCTGGCATCTTGAGCTTTTGTGAGCAGCTGTAGATACATTAGCCTGTAGGCACAGGAATTGGCTGGAGGTTGGCAGCAAGAGGGGATGGTTTTCTCTTGTTCTCTTGCCCTTGCCAAGCCAGCAGTAACTAGTGGCCTTTTTTTATTTTACTTGTTTAGTAGTGCTTGATTATTTATTAGAAAAAATGCAAATGCTTTTTCCAGGGAGTACTGGGCTGGGTACCTGGTTTTGTGTGTTTTGGTTTTCATAGCTTTTGTCCAAATGCACACAAACATCTGGAGGCCTGCTGCAGTTGTGAACTTAAAAAGCGACAGCTGTGCACAAACTGATTCAGAAGAGAAAATAATTCTTCCAATTTGGCCACCATCAGGAGTGGCAGGAGAGGATGCTGGAATGGATAGGGAACTAACCAGACTGAAAGGCTGGCTCTTGCAAAGGTGGGTGAGATGTCCAAATCACAGTCCAAGGAAGTGGAGCCAGGCATACCACCCCTGCTTCCATGGAACTGTGAACCCGCTACTCAAACATCAAACAAAGAACTGCATTCACAATTCCAGTCTCTATCATATCTGCTTGGTGTGGCACTGTAGGATAAGCATTTGGCCATAAAACAGTTTGAACTCACCAGCTGCTCCTTGGAAACCTATACAGGGTCACTGTGAGTTAGAACTGACTCAGTGGCACTTAACAACAACAACAACCACATCACAACCACTATGAGACAGGTGGTGAGTGCCTGGAACATATTCCACATACAGTATCAATTAAACAGAAAGACAATGACATCACAAGAAAACAGACAATTTCAGCTTACATGTAGAAACAAGATCGAGTGCCTCTAACAAGTGACCAAAACACAGAGTCAGAAAATATTATACCAGAAATGCTATCTCTAAGTCCCTAATTTCAACTTAGAATTATACAAGGAGAAAGTTTGTAGAAAAGTTCAATTACCTTTGAATTCAATTTTTTCAAGAAACTTCTGATGCCCTCTCATATATGTAGTAAAAGTATTATTCCAGAATAAAATGAAGCTAAACCAACTGCCACCAAGTTGATTCCTACTCACGGAAACCCCATCTGTTGCCCAGCAGAACTTCACTTCATAGAGTTTTCATGGTTGTGATCTTTCGAAAGAATGTCATCAGGCCTTTTTGCAAAGGGTCTAATCACCTACTTTTAAGCTTAATAATGTCAAGTACTTAACTGCTCATGGTACCTAGGGATTCCATTTAAGAAAAAAGATCTGCCCTGTAAACATTCATTCAATTCACAATAAAAACTTAAAAAAAAAATTATATATTCTTTAACAAATATAAAATAATTATTTTTTTAATTATGAAAAAAGGGAAGAAAATGTACTTACACAGGAAATACATAATTAAAGGAGATTAATATCAAGAGGTTGACTCTAAAAGGTCAAATAAAGGATATATTTCAAGGAAAAAAACTATCCCAGAAGGATGATCTGAGATGGAAAGGAACAATGAACACATAAAAACTGCAAACATGTCAGAAAATCAAACCAAAGTTCATTGTTTTGCCCTCTCTCTCACCACACAAACACATGTATTTTTTTTATACATTCAAATATATGATAAAGTATCCACATTGTGGGACTAAGAAAAGATAAGTATCAAATATTGGATGATAATAGTAATAACTAGTGTGGCGCTGTGGGCTAATGCGTCAGACTGCAAAGTTGTTTGAACTGCAAGGTCGGTGGTTCAAGCTCACCAGTTTCTCCTTGGAAACCCTATACAGGGTCGCTATGGGTCAGAATCGACTCGACGGCACATAACAACAACAAAAATAATAACTAAAAGGTGAAGGGAAGGTCTGATATATTGCATTCCATAGTCCCTTTGTTGTTGGGAAGCAGATCAGGAATATTTTACATAGAATCTGTTAAACTTACTTATATATAGTAAGTATTTAATGCAAACCATTAGAGAACACAGAGTATTAAATTCCAAAACAAATAGGGAGAAAATAAGTGGGATAAAGGGAAAAAATACAAATTCACACACACATACTCTCGATTTAAAAAGGCAAACAAGAAAGAAAAAACAGAAACATGGGAATATCAGGACATAACAATAAAAATGTAATATGGCAGAAACAAATCCAAATTGCCAATAATCACAATAAATTAAGGAACTAAATTTATTAAATGAAATAAATGAGATTGTTAGATTGATACAACAAACAAAATCTAGCAGTATGCTGTTTTCAAAAGCTACACCTAAAGCACACAGACAAAGATTTTTAGGTACTGGGACAGGAGGGGGAGTGCAGTAGCTCAGTAGGATAAGCTCAGGAATATCACCCACAAGCTCAGTTGCTCGAGCCCTCCAGCAGGTCCACAGGAGAAAGAGGAGGCTTTACTACTCCTTCAAAGATTAACAGTCTCGAAAGCCCTCAAAAGGGTCACTATGAGTCAGAACCGACTCCATGGCACTTAACAACAAAGACAAAGGGATATAAAAAGATAAAGTGGGAAAAATACGAAAGAAAACTGGTGTACGGTGTCAATATCATACATAACAGAGTTTAAGACAAAAACAAACAAACAAACAAACAAACAAAAAAGCCCTGCCAGAGATTGGAGTACTTCATAATGATAAAATATCCAACTCACTTTGGATAACAATTTGCCATGGTCTTAAAAGTCAAATGCTCATATACCCTGTGGCACAATAAGTCTGTTCCTACATACATGCTGAACACATATTCTTAATATTAGTATTCCAGGAGATTTGTATTAGAGCATTTAAGGTAGACCTGCTCACAGTATCCAAAGGTAGATGCAACTGCAGCGGCCACTGACTGGGAAATGAGTAACTATATTGCATACTGGATTATAACAGAGGTATGGACAATAATGAATGATAGCTATATTCAATTATCTGGGTAAATCTTACAAATATAATATCAAAGAGGAAAAATTAGTTTCAGAGGACTACATATAATAATATGCCACATTTATTTGAAAACTGAAAGGCTCTCATCCACCAGCAGCTCACAGGACAAAGATATGGCAGTCAAAGTTGCCCCAACCCAAAAAACCAAACTCGCTGTTGCTAATTACACTCACTATTATGGCGCTGTAAGGAGCTCTGGTAGCTTAGTGGTTATGAATCAGGCTGCGAACTGCAAAGTCAGCAGTTCAAAACTACCAGCTGTTCTGTGGGAGAAAGATGAGGCTTTCTGCTCCCGGAAAGATTTACAGCCTTGGAAACCCTGTACAGGGTTGCTACGAGTCGGAACCGACTCCACGGCACATAACAACAACAACATTATGGCGCTGTGGGCTAATGAGTCAGACTGCAAAGTCATCTGAATTACAAGGTTGGTGGTTCAAGCTCACCAGCTTTTCCTTGGAAACCCTATACAAGGTCGCTATGGATTGACTCGATGGCACTTAACAACAATAACAGTGATCCTACAGGACTGAGTAGATGTGATCCACAGGGTTTTCGAGACAATAAATCTTTACAGAAGCAGACTGCCACATCTTTCCACTGAGGAGCAGCAGATAGGTTAATTGTCGACCTTTTGGTTAGCAGCCCAGAGTTTGATTCATTGTGCCACTAATGATTCCAGTAAAGATTGGAGGAGGAGAGGTGTGATGTGCCGTGGAGTTGGTTCCGACTCCACGGCACACAGCCACCACCAAATCTTTATTTACGGGAGCAGAAAGCCTCATCTTTCTCTAGTGGAACAGCTGGTAGTTTTGAACTGCTGACCTTGAAGTTAGCAGCCCAATTCATAACCACTACTCTGCTCTGGTAGCGTAGTGGTTACGAATCAGGCTACGAACCGCAAGGTCAGCAGTTCGAAACTACCAGCTGCTCCGCGGGAGAAAGATGAGGCTTTCTGCTCCCCTAAAGATTTACAGCCTCGGAAACCCTGTACAGGGTTTTTATGAGTCGGAATCGACTCCACGGCACATAACAACAACAACAACAACGCTACCAGAGTAAAGATTCCAACCGTGGAAACCCTACGGGGCAGTTCTACTCTGCCCTATGGGATTGCTATTGACTCAACAGTAGGTTTGATTTTATTTGCTGCACAAGTACATGTCTTACAACTCAATAAAAAGGCAATAGAGTTTCAGGATTCGGGTTCCTCTGGCTGGGTGACAGTGCCCATAGGGTGCTATTCACGTAGAATCCTATGCTACCATACAGTAGTCCTGGGTGTAAGCTATGATAACTGACAATGATCCAGTTTGGGGAGCAGGTGATATATTCAGTGATAATATTTTTTTTTAATTAACGTTAAGTTGAAAATTAAGATAGGGCTATATGAAAGTGTATTGTGATATAGGGTTGCTATGAGTCAAAAGTGTGGCACTGTGGGTTAATGCGCCAGACTGCAAAGCCGTTTGAATTACAAGGTCGGCAGTTCAAGCTCACCAGCTGCTCCTCGGAAACCCTATACAGGGTCGCTATGGGTCGGAACCGATTCGACAGCACTTCACAACAACAACATGAGTCAAAAGTGACTTGATGGCAATGGATTTGGGTTTTGATTTTTGTTGTTTTATGATAGGCATTGATATCCAACTAACACACACACACACACGCATATGCCACCTGACCAGTTCTTTTTCTCAAAGCATTGATTCCTTATGATGAATCAGGTTCCATCTGACTGTGTTTACCTACCCCACCTAACCCCTCCTGTGATTCTACTCCTGCTCACTTTGTTCCCACAACCCTGGCTTCCTGCTTGCTCTAGCTCCAAAAACAGCTTGACTCTTTCTGGCTTCTGACCCTTTGCATATGGCATTGGTTACTGCCTGGAATACTCGACCCTATAGCTCTTTGCAGAGCCTAACCATGCTCATCCCTTGGGTTTCAACATATTTGCTGCCCTCTCTGAGACCCTACCTCTGACCACCCAGGCCAAAGTAGTTTCCTCTGTGTGTCAGAACACCCTGCTCTTTCCCTTCATTGTGGATCACACAATTTAAAATTAAATGTTGATGACCGGCAGGGTTGCAGGCTTGCGGGGTATACCTGTGGTTTGTGGATGATGCATGGAGGGGATTGTAACCATGGCAAGGAAACGATATACGATGGAATCAATGCGAAGCTAATGTTCTCCCAATTAAACTATCATATAACTCAAAATAAAGCATGATATATGCTTCAATTAAAATAAATTAATTAATTTAATTAAGTGTTTACTTGTTTGCAAGTTTTTCTTCTCTCCTCATTAGATGGTAAGCTGTCTGAGAGTAAGGACCATGCATGTTTAAACTCCCCACTGTAGATCCATGACTTAGCACAATCTGGTACATGTTTAGATGTATGAGTGAATTGTAGAAAACAAAAGATTAGCCATCATCTTCAACACGACACTTTGGTCTTCTTCCCCATGTCCATCAGTCATCTTAATTCCTCAAGATATATCAAGAACATTCAAGAAGATGTTATGCAGTAATTTTGATAGCAGATATCCTTGAGGCTCCCCCCACCCCAATTTGGAGAATTGTTGTTGTTGTTGTTGTTAAGTGCCATCGAGTCGGGTCCGACCCATAGCGACCCTGTACAGGGTTTCCAAGGGTGTAAATCTTTACGGGAGTAGAAAGCCTCATCTTTCTCCCGCGGAGTGGCTGGTAGATATACTGCCTCAAAATAGTCATCTTTGAGACTATGTTGGCTTATGCTATAAGAGTCATTAAAGATCCCTCCTATTTTCATTTTTGAAGTAAAAATTTCTTAGCAGTGGATTTGGTGACCCCACACATCAGCCCTCCTACCTGTGAGGAAAGAATTGTTCCAAAATGAGAGGAGAAAGAGAAACTCTGGATTTCCGTTCACTCTCCTTAAGGTAGCAGTAACTTACCACAATGGCCTGGATGCACTCATAGTAGGAAGATGTCTTCACACATGAAACTGGAAGGACACTTTTCATATCATTGCATTTGTCATTCTCTGCTTTTGATGTGACGCACCATTTCACAGTTTGGTCAGAGGCAGCCAGACAGAGCCCTAAGGGACAGAAGCCAGAGGTGTAAGGGATCCACATCCTATCCTGGTGGGAAGACAGCACCAACCTCCTAAGGGTCCTACCAGGGAACCACATCCCATCTGTCCAATCCTTCTCCCTCTTCTGTTCCATGAACACTGCAGGGCACAAGTGCCACTGCATTACAAGGTTGGGGCCACAAGGAGGGTACACTAATGGCCTCCTAGTTTCCAGCTGACTACTCTGTGCTGACCAGAGGGATACCTGTTTGACCAATTCTCAAATGCAGAAAGCAATTTAGTCCTCTGGACTCTCCTATCCTCCACCCTTCACCCGTCATACCCCTGACCTGCCATGGAATATGAGTCGTGGCGTAGACTCAGTGTTTCCAGGGCCTCAACTCAATGGCTTTATTCCACAATGCTTGATGCCCAACAGGGTAGGCACTGCTGGGTCAGAGAAGTTGGTGCTTTATCCAAGATCACCCAGCTTGTCAGTGGCCAAACCAGGTCTCCAGATTCCAGGTCTGGGGCTTTGCTCACTTGGATATTCCCAGAGGGCAACCCAAGAGACAAAAGAAGATGACAGCCCCAATTACTTTCTTCTTTGGTCAGTAGTGGGAGATAAACTATTGGAAAGAATGTGCCTATGATTTATTGAACACGCCATGGGCTGCCAAAAGAACAAATAGATCCATTTTGGAAGAAGTGCAGCTAGAGTGCTCCTTGGAGGCCAAGATGGCCAAACTTCGTCTCTCATACTTCAGACATACTGTCAAGAGGGACCAGTCACTGGAGAAGGATATCATGTTTGGTAAGGTGGAGGGTAAGAGAAAGAGAGGAAGACCCCCAACGAAATGGATTGGCCAAGTGGCAGCATCGATGGATTCAAGTGTGGCAACAGTAGTGAGGTTGGCCCAGGATCAGGCAGTGTTTTGTTCTGCTGTGCATAAGGTTGCTATGAGTTGGTACCGACTCAATGGCACCTAACAACAGCAACAAATCCTCTGTCAGGGACTCCTGGTGTGGCGCTGTAGGCTAAACCCACCGGCTGCTCCTTAGAAATCCTATACAGACTTGCTATGAGTTGGAACCAACTCAATGACACTTAACAACAGTTTTTCGTGGAGCACTGACTGCTCCAAAGCCCCTTTACCCTGACCATAGAAAATCAGAGCAGGCAGCCTGAGTCAATGGCAGATCCTCACAAATGCCCCAGGTCTATTAGTAAGAATTTGTCTCAGTCATGCATTACCTTTGCACAGCCCTATAAGGTACCCTGGGAATCCTGGTGTAGCACTGTGGGTTAATGAGCCAGACTACAAAGCAGTTTGAACTGCAAGGTTGGTGGTTCAAGCTCACCAGCTGTTCCTTGGAAACCCTACACAGGGTCACTATGGGTCGGAACTGACTGGATGGCAGCTTAACAATAACATGAGGTACCCTGTGGGAGACAACACAGGGGTTACCATTGGGTTGCTAATCACAAGGTGATTCAAATCCACCAGTTGCTCCTTGGGAGGTAGCATTGAAACCCTACACAGGGTCACTATAAGTACCACTGGGTGGCACTGAAAAACATCTGTGTCAGATGTTAGGTGGGGGAGAGACTTTGCAATGCCTGCCCTACTGCACCATGTGTGACACATAGCCAGCCCCCTAGGGCCTGACAGCCAGGTTCTCATTTAACCCTAACCTGATACCATCTAGTGAATACTGTTATTGTCCCCTCACTGGTAGGGGCTGGAGGAACAAAGAAGCCCCAACACCGTGGGCAATGTTAAATTACCCAATAAGCAAGGTAAGCCCGGGCTTGCTTGTGCTTATTTCGTAACCTGTAAAACACAGCACGTAGTTGACTCAGGATTTGGATCTAAGAAATCTGATTTCAAATCCCCTGCTCTGAATCACCTGGCTGCTCTTGTTACCCCAAGGGAGGTAGAGTCAGCTCAGTGAGGTTTTGAATGCCAAGCTAAGGAATGCGGACTTGACTAAGGAGGCAGCTGGAAGAGTTTTGATAAACTGTGATTAGAATTGTCCTCATTTGCTGTATTGCACACCGCTGCGTGATTTATCAGATAATGAGGGGAAGAAGACAGAAGAGAAAGCAATGAAAAGGTGACAAGAGACTTGAGCTGCAGTGGCGCGCAGTGGCGCTCACGGGCAGAGCAGATCAGAGCCGAGCAGTTTCCAAAGTGGTGGTAAACAAGGCTGAGTGCGGGGGTGGCGAGTGAAAGGCACTCGGCTTACAACCACAACGTGCAGCACAGATCGATGTGCTTTACAGGGGCGCTCGCCTGCTCTCAGAGAGCAAGGAGCGCCCAGGGCTTCGATGCACTTACCCAGGACCCCGCAGGCCAGCAAGACGCTGACGGTGAACCGCATCCTCCCGGGTGTGTGGTACTGAACGGCGAGCACAGACGGACCCAGCTTCTGTGCTGCCTCTCTCTCGGGCGCAGGCGCCCTTTTGTATTCAGCCGGGCCGCCCACAGGGCGCAACCTTTGACCTTGCCATATTTGCTCAGCTCGGTTACCCAATCGCCCCTCAACCTCTCCCCCTTCCTTTTTCACCCCCCGCCGGTCACCTCATTTCCCGAGCCCTGGGACAGCCCCATAGGTGGACTCCATCCAAACTGCTGACTAGAAGGGAAATCACATCAAATCAGATCATCCCCTTGGTACTGCGCACTTGCTCTATTTCAGGACTGTGGGGCTGCTGTGCCCCTGAATCCCCGCATGCCAGAGCAGGATATGCCTCTAGTCCCTTTACTTTTTCTAATAGGGAGACTCTGAGTTCCCTCCCGGGAGGAAAAGTTAATTGCCCCAGATCCCACGGAGGGCTAGAACGTGAGAATGACAGGGAGTAGATGTGGAAGGAGAATTAAATTGGACTTTAGGAAAGGAAACTACCAGCTGTTCCGCAGGAGAAAGATGAGGCTTTCTGCTCCCGTAAAGATTTACAGCCTCGGAAAACATGTACAGGGTCGCTATGGGTCGGAACCGACTCCATGGCACATAACAACAACTAGGTCAGGGAGGTTACGCCCAACACATTTCAATCCTTCCTGGGTACCCCTGCTCCTCCCTTAATACCCCACACCGTGAGGAGCTGCTCCTTCTCCCAGAGCCCCTGAGCATCTAGGCCTGTAGGCCTTTGGCCTTTGTTGCCCACAGTATGGGGCCAGAAACTTGCTGGGGGCAGAGTTACAGAAGTGACAGTCTCCTGGGGAATATCATCAGGACACTGTGACAGTCAGAACAAAGTGCTATGTGAGCACAAAGCATCAACCAAGGAGGATGTGGCCTGTATTCACCTCCTGAGTCAGTGATCTCCAAAGCAGTTTGATTGTACTTCCTTGTCAGTAAAAATATTGAGTTTGTGCCTTCTGTGTAAATTTTGCTTGTTGTTGTTGTTAAGTGCCGTCGAGTCGGTTCCGACCCATAGCGACCCTGTACAGGGTTTCCGAGGGTGTAAATCCTTACGGGAGTAGAAAGCCTCATCTTTCTCCCGCGGAGCAGCTGGTAGTTTCGAACCGCTGACCTTAAGGTTCGCAGCCCAATTCGTAACCACTACGCTACCAGAGCTCCTTTGCTTAGCTGTTTACTAATACTTTGTGTATATTTCAATTGTGCACAAAAACTAGAGAAGAATTGATGCATTTGAATTCTGATGTTGGCAATGAATATTGAATATAGCATGTTTGCCAGAAAAACAAAAAAAAGTTAATAAAAGGATGAGCTAAGGATGAAATATTATTGTTGTTGTTAGATGTCATAAAGACCATACTGACTCATAGCAATACTATGTACAACAGTCCTTTGCCATCCCCACGATCATTATATTTGAACCCAATGTTGCAGCCACTGTACCAATGCATCTCGTGGGAGGGTCTTCCTCTTTTTTGGCTATCTATTTACCAAGCATGATGTACTTCTCCATAGATTGGTTTCTCCTGATAACATGTACAAGTATGTGAGACAAAGTCTCACCATCATCACCTCTAAGGAATATTATGGCTGTACATCTTCCAAGATACATGTTTTTGTTTTTCTGGCGATCATGGTATATTCAAATATTCATTGCCAACACCAGAATTCAAATACTTCTCTAGTTTTTCTTATTCATTGTCCAGTTTCCTATGCATAAAAGGCAACTGAAAATATTATAGCTTGAGTCAAGTGCACCTTAGTCCTCAAAGTGACACCTTTGCTCTTTAACACGTTAGGAGTCTTTTGCAGAAGAATTGCCCAATGCAATCCATCGTTTGATTTTTTTACTGCTGCTTCCATGGTTATTGATTGTGGATCCAAGTAAAATTAAATCCTTGACAACGTCAACATTTTTTCTGTTTATTATGATGTTGTTTATTGGTCTGTTGTTATTGTTGATAAGTGCAATTGAATCAGTTCTGACTCATACCAACCCTGTATAGGGTTTCTGCAAGGAGAGGCTGGTAGGTTTGAACCGTTGACTTTTCCAATCCAATGCTTATCCTATAACACCACATCAGTACTCTGTTTATTGGTCTAGTTGTGTGAATTTTTGTCTTCTTTACATTAGTTGCAATCCATAGTGAAGGCTGCAGTCTTTGATCTTTACCATTAACTATTTCAAGTCTTCTTTGCTTTTAGCAAGCAAAGTTGTACCATCTGCATATTGCAATTTATTAATGAGCCTCCCTCCAATTCTGATATCATGTTCTTTTTCATATAGTCCAGTTTCTCTGATTATTAGCTCAGCATACAGATCGGATCAATTTAGTGAAAGGATACAACGCTGTTGTTCACTTTTCCTGATTTTAAATCATTCAGTATCCCTCTTTCTATCTATCTATAGACTCCTTCTTGGTCTATGTACAAGTTCTGCATGAGCACAATTAATAGTTTTGGAATTCCCATTCTTTGCAATGTTATCCACAGTTTGTTGTAATCCACACAAGTCCAATGACCTCATTTAGCCAACAAAACACAAATAAATATCTTTCTGGTATTGTCTGCTTTCAGCCAAGATCCATCTGACATCAGAAATTCTATCCCTTGTTCCACATCCTCTTCTGAATCCAGCTTGAATTTCTGGCAGCTCTCTGTCAATTTACTAGTGCCTGCCAATTATCTTCAAAATCTTACTGGTATGTGCTATTGATATTGTTCAACAATTTCCGCGTTCTGTTGCATCACTTTTTTTTTGGAAAGAGCACAAATGCTCAGTCCTTTGGCTAAGTAGCTGTCTTCCAAACTTCTTGGCATAGACAAGTGAGTACCTCTAGTGCTACATCAGTTTGTTGAAACATTTTAATGTTCATTCCTTCAATTCCTGGAGCCTTGTTTTTCATCAATGCCTTCAATGAAGCCTGGACTTTTCTTCAGTACCATTGCTTCTTGATCGTATGCTACTGCGTGAGGTGGTTGAACATCAATCATTTGCTTTTGGTACAGTGACTTTGTACCAAAGTACAAACAGTTTTTGCTGTTCCCAGTATCATTCAATATTTTTCCCATAGAATCATTCAGTATTGCAACTTGAGGCTTGCATTTTTTTCTTCAACGGCTTCATCTTGAGAAATACTGAGAATGTTCTTTGCTATACTGATATTTAAATGTCCCTCTGCTTATTATGCCTGATAGACAATGAATTAACATCTCAAGGCATACTTAGGGAAAGTGTCAGGTTCCTAACGGGAAATATGAATACATATTTCAAATAGTCATGATGATTTTAGGACATTGAAAAAATCACTTCTTATCCAGTCTGACTAAATGGTCCTTAATATGATCCTACCTCGTATTTTAGATGACAACAGGCCTAAGAAAAGTGTCATTTCTGCTGTTTCATTTTTGTTCATTTGGGGTTGTATTATCAGAATTATCCTCTAATTCTCATGTCTTTGCACGAAATCTTCTAAAGGCACTTGTACATTTTGTGAAGGCTGATTAGTTAAAGCCAAGTTTTATAATCTGTGCATCTGCTTAACTGTGCACAACAAGCCATTAAAGGACAAGGAATGCATGCCGCAATGATGCTATACACCTGCCTCTTCCACATACCCACAGGATGCCTGATCCATAGACCACATGGGAGAGAGTACCAATGCACATATGAAATATTTGTGAATGTTAATTTGTTGAACTTTTGCAATAAGTATACATATAACTAGAAGTTATATTTTCTCCTCCCCCACAATAAATTATGTCACATACCCAGGGAATGTACATATCCCTCTTTAAAGACCATAGCTTTGGCAAGACTTTCTGTTTACAGTGGGACCATAAAAAAGCACTATCTCTTCAATGAGGTAGAGTGACAGTGCTGCCTCTTTTCCTGTCTGTGGCCCCTGATGGGCTCCTTTTGCTTGAGGAAACCCAACATCTTGGTGGGAAGAGCATATTCTTACTGCCACATCCTCTATTCACATCTTAGCAGAAACCCAGGGCCTTGTTTCCTGCTCACGAAAAGGATAACCATGGAGTCCTATGTTTCCCATCTCTCAGAGCAGGGTGTGAGGTTCATGCACGTGTGCATGGCCCTTGTTGTACAGCTGTGCCCGCATCTGTATGTGTTGGAGGGTATTTGAGAGTCTGGGGGAACATTAAAGTACTCCATTACCTAGGAGACTCTGGTAGCATAGTAGTTATGAATTGGGCTGTTAATCTCACGGTCAGCAGTTCGATACTACCGGCTGTTCCACAGGACAAAGATGAGGCTTTCTGCTCCTGTAAAGATTTACAGTCTCGGAAATTCTGTACAGGGTTGCTATGAGTCAGAACCAACTCCATGGCACATAACAACAACATTACCTAGGTGACATGTGCTCTCACTGTTTAGTCTAGACCTGCAATACTCTGGAATCCAGAAATATTGTCCTTGTGTTATGGCTCTTGTAAAGATGGCTAGGACTTACTATCAGAATTTTAGTTAGTGTTTACCACAGCCTTTTAAGGTAGGTGCATTATTACCCACATTTTACAGATAAGATGAGGAAACTGAGGCCTAGAAAAATGAACAGGTGAGCTGGTGAGTCAGAATGTGGTTCTATAGTGTGTGTACCTATCTACCAAGGAGCAGGTCAGGATTTCCTCCTGTACAGGGGGATGGTCTGCCTGAAGGTCCTGACTCAGGCAAGGACTGACTTTATTTAAGCCCAGCTGAACAGAAAGAATCCTGTTTTTAGACTATTCCTGTGTCAGGCACTGTTCTGGGGCATTTTTCCAAAACACAGCATTTGATCTTGGCTAGCAGAATTACAAGATTAAATCAGTGCCATCACTATGGACACTACAGGGAAAAAATAGGTCCTCACTCACAGAACTGTGGAACCTGAGTCAGATCTCCTGGGTCCCAGTCTTCTCTGGGTCACAGCTTCCCCCTTGACACTGATATTCTCTTT